AAGATGCGGGCGGCGCAATTTTTCAGCGTCTCAACGAAAAAGTTTGGCCCGAGAGGTGCTGCGCGCTGGGTGCAGGCCGCGCGGGCGTCTCAGCGCAGCGCGGCGATGAGAGACGGGCCGGTTCTGCGATGCCCCGGTCTTTTGCCAGCACCCTCAAATCCACGCCCAGCGCCAGCAAATCCACGCCCAGCACCGACATGGACATTTCCGGATTCTCTCGCGCGGCGCGGCCGTCAAGAACAGCAAGCAGGCGGCCGCGGATTTTTCGCAGCCGCAGCCGCTGCACCCCACGCTCCGTTCTCTCGAGGAGGAGGTGGATAAGGAAACGGACTTTTTCCGCACGGGCCGAGGCGGGGCCAGGCCGGAGGGGGGTGCCGGCGCCGGCGGCCCACTGGCGAAGGCAAAGGAGCGCCCCGGCCCCGGAACGGGCCCACAAGACAGAAACGCAGACAGAAAGCAAGACAGAAAGCAAGACACAAAGCAAGACAGAAAGCAAGACACAGACGCAGACACAGACGCAGACACAGACGCAGACACAAACACAGAAACAAACGCAGAAACAAACACAGACACAAACACAGAAACAAACGCAGAAACAAACACAGACACAAACGCAGACACCCCCCTGGCCATCACCAGCGAGGCCGCGGCGCGCGCGTTCCGGCGCCGGTGCGGCAGCAAGGTGTCCGGCGGCGACGTGCCGCTCCCCATCGCGTCGTTCCAGGACCTCGAGGCGCGCTTCGGCTTGCACCGGCGGCTCCGGGCCAACCTCGTGGCGGGCGGCTTCGCCGAGCCCACGCCCATCCAGTGCGAGGCCATGCCCTGCAGCCTCGTGCGCCGCGACGTGGTGGCCTGCGCGCCCACCGGGTCCGGCAAGACGCTTGCGTTCTTGGTGCCCATGGTGCAGGCGCTCGCCCAGGCGCCGGCCGCCAAGAACCCCGGGGTGCGGGGCCTCGTGCTCGCGCCCACCAACGAGTTGGCGCAGCAGATCCACGCGCAGCTCCAGCAGCTCACGCGCGGGCTCGGGCACGTGGCCACGGCCGTGTTGACGCGGCAGGTGGCCGCGCAGCTCGTGCTGGGCCGCGTGCGCGGCGACAGGTACACGGTCCTCGTGAGCACGCCGTTGCGGCTCCTCGACATGGTGCGCGGCGGGCACGTGGCGCTCGCGGGCGTGGAGGAGCTTGTCATTGACGAGGCGGACCGCATGTTCGAGCGTGGGTTCGTGGAGCAGACGGACGGCGTGGTGGCCGCGTGCACGCACGCGCGGTTGCGGCGGCTGGTGTTCTCGGCCACGATGCCGGCGGGCGTGGAGGCGTTGGCGCAGTCCATGATGTGCGACCCGGTGCGCATCGTGGTGGGCCACAAGGAGGCCGCGTGCGCCAGCATCGACCAGCGCTTGGTGTTCACGGGCAGCGAGGACGGCAAGCTCGTGGCCGTGCGCCAGATGCTCCAGCAGGGCGAGGTCAAGCCGCCGGTGCTCGTGTTCGTGCAGTCCATCGTGCGTGCCAAGGCCTTGTTCCACGAGTTGTTGTACGACCGCTTGAACGTGGACGTGGTCCACGCGGAGCGCACGCCGGCCCAGCGCGCGGACGCCATCCGCCGCTTCAAGGCCGGCGACGTGTGGGTGCTCATCACCACGGACGTGCTTGCGCGCGGCGTGGACTTCAAGGGCGTGAACCTCGTGCTCAACTACGACGTGCCGCCGTCCGCGCAGGCGTACGTGCACCGCATCGGCCGCACGGGGCGGGCGGGCCAGCCGGGCCGCGCCGTGACCTTCTTCACCAAGGCCGATAGCTTGGCCGTGCGCCCGGTGCTCAACGTCATGAAGCAGTCGGGCTCGCGCGGCTACGCCGCGTGGATGGACGACATGTCCAACTTGTCCTATGCCGAGCGCAAGGACGTGCAGCGCCGCCCGGTGGCCCGCCAGCAGATCAGCACGGTCCCGGCCGTGGTGCGCCACAAGCGCCGCCAGCGGCACGAGATGATTGCCGCGTCCAAGCGCCGGAAGGAGTGCGGCGGCGAGTGACGTGGTCTTGGCTGGATGTTTGGTGGGGTGTTGGAGGACGTAGGGATGGTGTAGTCTTGTTACATAGAAATATAAGTGGAGTTTTTATTGATGGGGTGTTGGAGGATGTAGGAGTGATGGTGTAGTTTTGTTGAATAGAAATACAAGTGGAGTTTTTTGATGGGGATTTGGTGGGGTGGTGGAGGAAGTTGGGCTATCTCGAGGGTGAGTGATGTTAATTCAAATGGAGTGTTGGGTATGTAGAGTTGATGATGGTGATTCATGTTAATTTAAGTAAAGTGTTGGATGATGTGGAGTTGATGGTGATTGATGTAGTCTTGTTATAAGAATTTGATGGAGTGGTGGATGATGTGAATTTGACGGAGTTTTGGAGGATGTGGAGTTGTTGATGGTGGCTTATGTAGACTTATGAAGTACAAATTTGAGTGGTGTGTTGGATGATGAAAATTAGATTGAGTATTGAAGGATGTGGAGCTATCTAGTTTGTGATAGATGTAAGTTAATAGAGTGGCGAGTGATGTAGGGGTGATAGTCTTGTTAAATGGAAATTTGAGTGGGGTATTTATTGATCGAAATTTGATGGAGTGTTGTATGAGGTTAATTTGATGAAGTGTTTATTGGTGGAAACTTCATGGAGTGTTAGAGAATGTAGAGTTGATGAGTGATGCGAATTTGAAATGCAGTGGTTGAATGATGTAAGTTCATGGGCCGGGAAGTGACGTATAGTTGATGATGGTGGGTGATGTAGACTTGTGAAATCGAAACTTGAATGGAGTGTTGTACGATGGAGATTTGAATGGAGTGCTTCGATGATCTAGAGTTGATGAGTGATGCGAATTTGAAATGCAGTGGCTGAATGGAATAAGTTGATGGAGTATGGAGGATGTAGAGCTGATGAATGATGCCAATTTATGGAGTGGTGGATGGGACCAGTTGCATCATTCACCTTGACACCAGAGGGAGACGGGTAATAGGAAGGCACGCGAGGATATCCATGTTTTAGTTTTAATTGAAACTTTATCTTATAGTTCTAAAGCATCATCTATAGGTTTACGTTTAAGTGCTAATATAATGGCTGGTCATCTTATTTTAGGTAGTTTAATTTTATGTTTAATCTATAATTCATAGCTAATTTTATATATCAGTAATGCTTTTCAACTAAATGTAGAACAAATAGTAAGAAAAGCAAAAGATTTAAGTATAATATACATATGTTTAATCTAAGATATCAGTAAATCATGGAAAGCCGTATGATGGGAGGCGACCCGACATGTACTGTTATTTGTTGATAACGGTGAGTGATGTACAGTGGTTAAATAGAATTATGAGAGGTGTGTTGAATGATGTAGAGTTGATGATGGTGGGTGATTAGAGTTGCTGGATACAAATTTGCATGGAGTGTCAAATAATGTAGAGGTATTTCGAGGGTGAGTGATGTGAATATGTATGGAGTGTGAATGAGGTAAAGTTGATGATGCTGGGTGATGTAGTTTTGTCAAATAGAAATTCGATGTAGTGTTGTATGAAGTTAATTTGATTGGAGTGGTTGGATGATGTAGAGTTGTGTAGGTTGTGAGAGATGTGAGTTGATAGAGCGGGGCTGATGTAGGGTTGATGATGGTGAGTGATTTAGTCTTGTTAAATAGAAATATGCGCCGAGTGTTGAGTGATGTAGAGTTGTTAAATAGAAATTTGAGTGGAGTGTCGAGTGATTGAGTTGATGGTAATGATGTAGACTTGTTAAATAGAAAGTTGAGGGAGTGTTGCATAATGTAGATTTGCTGAATGATGTAGAGTTGATGAAGAGTTGACTGATGCAGAGTCGATGCAACGGTTGGAGTGGCTGAATGATTAACTTTTGTTGAGTGAGGTTGATTTGAATGAGACGGTCGAGTGATGTGTCGGTGTAGTATTGAATGATGTAGAGTTGTTGAATGAGGTAAATTTAACGCAGTGGTTGAATGATGTAGACTTGAATATAGTTGTCGAAAGATGTTTTTTAGAATGGAGATATATATTTGGATACACCGGCTGGGTCGGGCTGACGTAGATGAAGTAGGTTTGTTCGAATTGAAGGAGATTGGATGTAAGGGATTGGAATGTGTGGAATGACCTATTTTGAAAAAGTGCAGCGAAGTAAGCTTGGAATAAAGTGGTATGATAGGAAAAGATGGAGTGATTGGAATGGTGTGACTTGTACTGAAGTGATTTGTACTAGTTGCAATGAGGTGTAGTCTGCCGTAGATTTGAATGGTAGTGATTCCATTGGAGTGATCGTTTGGTTAGAATTGAAGCGGTTTGGGATGAGGTGTTGAATCACGTAGTCTGGACTGGAGTGATTTACAAGAATGTGATTTGGAATAAAGTAGATTCGAATTAGAGGAGTTTTAAATGATGTTAATTTGGCTGGAGTGAATGGGGGGTGCTGACGTAGATGGAGTAGATAATGTAGACTGACGTACTCTGAATAGAGTGGTTGAATGATGTAGATTAGGATGGAGTGTTGGATGATGTAAGTTGATGATGGTGGGTGATGTAGAGTTGGTGGGGTCCTGGATGTTGTGAAGGTCATGGACTGTGGAATGCTTTTTGACTAATTTGGCTTATTGAAGTAATATGTAATGGAGTTTTGAATGTGTGAATTTGAATGGGACGGTTGAATGATGTAGACTCGGATGGAGTGGCTCAATGAGGCGAGGTTTAATGGAGTGTTGCGTGATGTGGAGTTCATAGAGTGGATGATGTAAATGTGTCGAATGATGGAAGTTTGATGGTATCTAGTGATGTTAATTGGAATGCGTGGCTAAATGATGTGAATTTGGATGGAGTGGTCGAATGATGTAGACTGAATGGGGTGACCGGGAGATGCTGACGTAGATGGTGTAAAGAAGTGTGGACTGACATAATTTGGTTGCAGAGGTTGATTGTTTTAGATTCGTTAAAGACTAATCTGAAGGCAGCGATGGATTTACATAGAGTCGAATACAGTGGTTGAATGGTGTAATATTGAATAATGTGGTTGAATGGTGTAATATTGAATAATGTGGTTGGGAGATGCTGCCGTGGATCGAGTCGATTTTTGTGGAGTGGCATAGTTTAGATGCAGCGGTGTGAAGTGTTGTGATTCGGAATGAAGTCGATTTGAATCAGATTGATTTGAAATGATTTTGATTTGAATGCAGTGAGATCTGAATTGGAGTGGTAGAATGGAGTGATTTGTATTGAAGTGATATCAAGGGGAGTGGTTGGAATGGGGTGTAGCCGGCCGTAGATTTAGAAGGTAGTCATATCAATATTGTGGGCTAGCATGGTTAAAAGTGAAGCTGTTCGAAATAATTTGTTGCTTGACTAGTTTGGATGGGAGTGATGTAGAATGAAGTGATTTGGAATGAAATAGATTCGAGTCAGAGTGGAGTGAAATGTATTTGGATAATGCTGTCCTTGGAAAGTGCGGAGTGATGTAGATGAAGGAGCTTTGTTTTTTGTGGAATGAAGTAGATTTGAATCAAGTGGTGAGACGATGTGGAATGACGTAGGTTGGATGGTATAGATTTAGGGGGTGGCATAGTTTACATGTGAGTGGCTCGGAATGAGGTGATTGCAGTGGGGTGATTTAAATTGGAGTGACTTGGACTGAGCGAAGCTGATTTGTGGTGGTTTTGAATGATGTAGATTTGATTGTCGTATAAATATATTGAGGATATTTGAATCACAATGGCTTAAACTGAAGGAACTGGAAATGAAGTGATTTGGAATGAAGTAGAATTGTATTAGTGTGCCTGGGATTGAGGTGTGGATGTCGTGAATTTAGATCGGAGTCGTTTAGATTCAAATGGTTTGTAATAGAGCGGTTGGGTTGAAATAGAGTGCCTTTGATTGGAGTAGTTAGGATTGAGGTGGTTTTGAATGGAGCTATTTGGATTGAAATGAATATGTATCGAAGAAGATCTCAATTAGACTGGTTTAAAATCTAGTGCTTTGGATGTGATGATTTGAATGTAGTGATTTGAATGAAGTAGATCTGTATTAGAGTAGATTTGATGTAGATTTGAGTTGGAAAGATTGGAATAAAGTAGATCTGAACTAGAATGGTTAAAATTAAGGTGTTGCTTAATGAAGTAGATTTGGAAGATAGTGGTTTTGAATAGAGTGATTTCGATTTTGTTGGGGTTTAAACAACCGAGGAAGTAACCGAATACAGCAGCCAAAATGCGAATGCCAGATGAAGAAGTGTTTGCTACGGGAAGCCGAACGTGGAGTAGGCTCCATTCGTGCGGACAGGCTTTTCGATACTATTTGGCAATTAGATGGCAGTTTTCGAGGAGGAAGTAGGTTAATGGTCAAGAGGTGGTCAGCTTGTGTTGAGGAAGTAGCGACACTATAGCAGGGAACTGGCGCGAATATAGAAGGGAACTAGTAACTAAAGTAGAACAATTATTCCTAAGATATAGAAGTTTTAATCTTAAAAAAAGGGGCAAAAGACACGGCTTATTTACAATCGAGTTAGATACCGCGTTTATGACGGAGGCGACATTTTCATAATAGAGCTAGAGACCTTCTAGCCGGACACTGGCGAGTATGATGATTTGAGCATGTTCGATTATGGATTGGAATAATGATCTGATTTTGAATAATCATATGAGCGGTGTGATACTCGAGTACATGAATTATGGGGGAGGGGTTATTTTGGAGCGCACGATATATCTTGCGCCGTCTTGTATATCCAGCAGGTGGTTCAAGAAAGCGGTGCCGGGGAAAAATAAGAGGGACTAGATACACTCCTTCAGATACAATAACCCAAAGGCTCGACATTGTCTATACGGCGGAGAAAAGGCTGAGGTAGCTCATAAAGTTATCAATTCTCGATAAAGAATGTAATATTATGTGCATGTGATGGATATCTAAGATTTGGTGGGAAGGAAAAAGGCTCGGTATCATATATTCTCGAGGTGCTGACTGGGTGGTCTACAGTTAAAATTGAGAGTTGATTGAACTGGATAATGGGAACGCAGGTGCTTCAAACGAATGAATGAAAGGCAACTACGCAATGGGCTTTTATTATGATGCGACTCACCATAGAGGGATACCGCATGTAGCCTCATCAGCACAGGCCATGTCGAGCATATGGATTTAGGCTGAGTTTTGAAAGAGCAAGTGATTTTGTTTGTAGGCAATATGTATGACCGTAAAGGGTTACTTTAAGGGTACTTAAACTATTTTCGCCGGAGCTACTTGTCATCTTGCGTATTTATAGTGGCCTACCCAAGAGAACAACCATTTAGCTAGATTATGAGCATTTACAATTCAAAGACGTATATTAGTGGATTGTATGCTGAATGCGACAAGTCAAAGGCTCAGGATTCCGAAATTACCCTCTGTGAGTGAGCCTATTGGGTCTTTTGGCAAGGCCGTTAGAAGTTGTTGTGGTATAGCAAAAAGGGGCACAGAATAGGCGAGTGAGTCTTTTGGGTGGTATGATAACAGACCATCACGCGGATACAGCGAGCTATCGTTAAAAGTGATAGAGGCAGACTTGAGTGGGCCTTACTTGGAATGAAGTTGATCCTCAAGGTATTCTATGATTGTAGGAACTCAAAAGAGAGCACGTTGGTCTACGTGGACGTGACTTAGTGTTGAAGACAGTGATTTAAGAGGATGCTTATAAGTACATAAACATGTTGCTAGTGTGATAGAAGCGGGAATACTCAATGAAAAATTATAAAACCCGTATTCGGAGCTGGATATGTAGTTGTAGTGGTTTGTGTGAAAGAAAAAAATTGAACCGGCGTTATATTGGAGAACGCCCTGAGTGTGAAAAAGACTGCTTAGTGTTTTCTATGTATTCACACTTGAAAAGGCCCGGCTAAACCTTGTGCATGGAGCAGGGTATTAAGGTAAGTGGTCATTGTTCGTGAGAAAAGAATAAGTGGTGCGTATGACTGGGTAGGCTAAGCGTGTGATGAAGACGTAGCTTGTATAATATATGTTCCCATGGAAAACAGATAGATTATTGGGCCCAGATGAGCCTATCTCGTGAACAAGTTGTTGGGTAATTGTTTGTATTATCATATGAATAAGCTTCAGATATAAATCAATGGAAATTATGCGATAGAGCTCATGGATTTACCCGATAAAATCAAGAAGGTGAACCCAGCAGGCTTTCTTATGATTGGCCATTAATAATCTTTATATAATGGAGGGAATATTTTGCCGAAAAACTTAAAAATGGCGTCAATGCAGAGCGTGTCATTCTCAAAGGAATGGTTGAGAACAGAGTTTTTCGCATGGGTGGATTATTTAATTAAAAGTGTGGAAAGAAATGTATTGGTATGCACTATAAATACTGATTGCTTAATTAAATAGCAGACTAATTGAGCATTAGGGTCATAGGACCAAGACAGCTTCATGAATGGACAATAGGACAGTGAGCGAGAGGAATTTAAAGTACGCAAAAGATAGAGCTGTCCCGAATAAAAGTAGAAAATGAGATTCAACTATCAGCCAGTTACATCAGATTGATGTAGCAGGTTATACAAGAAAGCAGATCGCGAGAAAATAAAATGGGTTTAATAGGGACATGGACTGACATTGATTATAACTTATGCATAGTGATGCTGAACGATGAAATCGAAAGGATAACAGATCAGAACAAGTCTAGTCAAATTACGTGGAAGTGGGAAATCCAACTTAGCGGTTTTGAACTATAAGATTTGCGTATGCATTGACTGTTACTTACTACAAACATTGATTCCGCGCGGGATGGAATCAACCCATTTGGAGTCCCAAAACGAGTTTGTTCATGCTGATGCAATACAGTCTTAACAATAAGTTTTATGAAACTGAAAATTACAGCTTTTGTATAAGATCAAGTAGCAACTCAGATGCGGGCGCATCTGAACAATCATCGAAATGTACTTTAATCATGATAGTCAAGGACATTCTCCAAAGAAATATAGACCCGGTAGGCTAGCTTTTAAGCAGGCACTCGTGATTTACGGTCTGTACCTTCAACCGGTCATTTTCCTTACTTGCTCTGTCTTGAAAAAAATCCTGGCATACCCCCAGGCAAATGACTTGGGATTCAAGAAGCCATATCTTTCAAACATCCATTTTTTTTGCGAGGCTAGTACCCGGGAAGCATTGTCTTTACTAAACGGTATCTTTTGGTCTCTCGGCAAAATAGATCCAGAATCTGGTGAATTTGGCAAATTTCTCCAGCGGCGAAGCGACAGCTAGGAAGCATGCGAATGCAGCAGCACCATGAACAAACTTGATCAAAAACAGCAATAAATTGTGGTTTCTGGAATTTGGGCATATTCAAGTCAATCTCAAGTCTTTCCAGACGCCTCAATTGCATTATCGGCGATCCCCTTAGTGAACATACCCGAATTTTCGTCTCGGATATCTTTCGAGCCCAAACGACTGAAAATACCGTATACCTCACTTGAGTTTCACAGCTATCCGCCGCATATAAAATTTGTGTAGACGGCCGGAGTTTTTGTTTTGCAGTTCCCGTAGCCGCAGTATTAGTGGGTCTTTTCGCCAGCTTGTGTGTGATCAGCTAGTGACTCTTTATGTTAGATAGTAGATTTTTACGTCATCTAATATGTCTTTATGTCAGTTGGTGCATCTCTATGCCAGTCCGCCATTCAATCTGGTCAGGTCTGCCTTGGATTCCTTTGCCTATGATTAGAGAAGATGAAAGATGAAATGATTGGAAGGTGCTCCATGAAAATGGTGGACAAAGCAAGCTATCTGGTTGCCCTAATTGAAAAAATAGCATAGACCCTGTTCGCGTCAGGTGCATTTTGTGGCCACGGAATAGACGAGCTGCTGAGAAGGAACGCAGTTTTCCCTAGATTCTATCATCATTACAGACTCTACCTGATTATGTGGATAAGGTAGGCTGGTTTGTAGCGCTATTCAATGAAGTTGATGAAACATGAAATCTATTCGGATGTCAAAACAAAAACACTCCTAGACTGGGACAGAATTTTAGTAGGCAGCACGCTCTGAACCAAAGAATCCGTCTTGAGAGTTGTACGGAATAGCTTATGATTTTGAGCTTCAGGTTTTCAGTTTGCAATAGGATTAGTAATATATATGCTCAATGTGCAATAGACTATGCTTCAGGAATGAGAATGGAGATATTCAAATTGCAATAAACTATGTATTAAGTATAGGAAATGAGATGCTCAATCAGACATTACAGCTGAAAACAGACTAGGGACCGAGCAAGAAGGGCTGTGCTGAATTTGATGATTATCTAAGGTTGGATCATGGCAGTGGAGTACTAGATTGCGTCTAAGTGTGGGAAACAGGCGGGTTCCAACCTCTCGCTGCCCTAGTTCTAATCTAATAAGCAAAAAAAGAGCCGTCATATTACCGTCAATACCCTTTAAATAGCAAATAAAAGGATCTGACGAAGAGTTTGCCGGAGAGTATGTTCAGCTTGCAGTGCAGCGCTTCAGAATCACGAATACATTAATATTTTCATATAACAGACATGTTCCCATGCTGAAAGAGGAGGCATTGCAGGTGGAATCAAGGTGGGGTTGTTCATATGCATATATCTGTCCGAAAATGACTTTAAGTAGGTCCTAATAGTAGCCTCCGAATATGCCATCAGAGAAGGCCTCGAAATCGTGAATATACGAAATGGAGTCAACTCGGTCACAATTGACACGCTTGTGGGCCGGAAACCAAACATATCTTCTGCACCAGTAGACTCGGCACTATATATGCAAACATCCAGTATGGGGATACCGGCTTTTACTGAATCCGGTGTCAGATATCTCAATACGATAATAAAAAGGCATTTCTACAATGGGTCTTCACGCCGGTCGCCCGGTTGAACCGATTCGTCTCCTGCACGACAGTTCACCAAGGCCCCAAAGCACGTCGGGGAATATTTCAATATATCTATGTATGTATATGATGCAGGCAGGCCGCCGGTCACGTCTAGTGATGCTCAGCGTGGCCAAGAGCCGGGTAGCCAAAGAAGTTTCTTCTGCCGATGATCTCACCGACGGAGAAGAAGGCCAAGCCGTGGATACCGTAAACGGCAGCCTTGGTCAAGGTGTCCTTGTTCATTGGCAACGACATGACTTTTTGCTGCAAAGCCTTTTGTTGCGCAGGCGTCTTGAGGAACTGCAAGGACGCCTCGTAGGCCTGCTTGAACTGGGCCAGCGAAGGTGGGGCCAAGCCCTCGGCCTTGTACACGGTCTTGCCGATCTCGGCGCCGACCTTTCCCCAGTACACGGCACAGTTTGCGAGTTGTGTGGACTTGGCCACGGCGGTGTTGACGAGGCCAGTGGCCTTGTTGATGATGGCAGACATTTCGTAGGTGTGGTTCCGGTGGGGTACTAGTCGGGGACAAATTTCAGTCTTGCGAAATGCGATTTTTCCATCTCCGCGACCAGCCAATCGCGCGTTTCGATTTGCGGCAGTGTGCAGGCTCAGTGCCAGCTGTTCTATCAGCACCGTACCGAACCGGCCACCAACACCCCAGTTTGGATGTGCCCAAACAGAACAAGGGTTGGGGATTCCGCTTGGCGCAGCGCACTTGAAATCCCCGCTTTTGGTCCGGTATCGTTGTTCTCAAGGCCGCTGCGCTGACGCTCGCACTGAGACTTTGGCAGGCTTGGCCTGGCCCGGGCCAGCATGGTTCAGCGCAAGGCAAGTGAGCCAGCATGTGTGAAAAAGCTTGCAAAAAACAACTTTCGTGGTGCTTGGGTGTTTCGTGCATGCCTCTGACCTCCCATAGCTTTGCAACAACTTAGTAGACACTCTCGGTGACAATCGCCGCTTCTGTAGAAGTTTTCGACGTAGAGCTGCCGTCAACCATCGGCACTAGCCGTCGACCAACTCAGGTCGTCCCAATCCTTGAAACACGTGTCAGGTTTATCATTGGACACATCTGACTGACGCGCACCGATTGTGGTGGACTCTGGGACTCCCAGGTCCGGCTTGGATTAGACACGAAGATCCAGCGGACACTTCTGAGCCACCAATAGGGCTCCAAGGACATCCCACAGCACCAAGAGAGGCACTGGATGCGTGACCGCGCGGCGTCGGGCCAGGTCTTTCTGGAAGCTTGCCTTGAAGGCTCATCCCAAAACGGACCAATCTTGCCTGATCACCGATTGTGAATTGGGCCCAGTCCCACCCAGAGAACAAACACCACTCGTGTGTTCGCCCCGTTCTATGCACGAATATTCCGTTCAACACATGACCCAGCTCCGTGGATCGACGCCCCCACCGTCGGCTAGACACAGCTGCCGGCAGACATCACACACCACATTTCCCACAGCCTTCAGCGGGCGGCCCCCGCCTAGATCTGCATCGTGCTGAAACGGTCGGGCCACAACATGGGCGCCACCAAGCTCCAGCCGTAGAGCACGTAGCACACCCACGAACTGATGATCTTGACCCAGCTGGAAAAGTACGTGCGGCCCACCGGCACGAAGTCGCCCACGTTGTCCTGGGTCACGTTGATGGTGAGGAGCGTGGAGATGTACTGCGTGGCCAAGAAGAAGATGATGTGGAACACCGTGTAGTTGTACTTGACCTGGCGGTCGTCTGGGCCCGCGCCGTAGCGGCTCTCGTCCTCGTAGAGGTCGAGCTGCGAAAGCGCACTTTCGGGCAACGAGCCCTCGTCCACGGCCTGCTTGATGGCCGCGTACCGCATCTGGTTTCTCTCGCTGGGCTGGGCAGAAATGGGCGCCGAGACCGCGGGCGGGTGCTCGGGCTCGAAGAACGACGAGTTGGCCGCCCGCGTCGTGGTGTACGCCAAGGCCACGAACGTGAAAAGAGCGCCCAAAAACACCGAGAGCGTGCGCGTGCCGCGGGACCGCACGAGGGGGTTGCAGAGCTTGTCGTCCGGCTCGGACACCACGGCGCTGAGCACGAGGTACGAGCAGTAGAACACCACCATCAGCGCCTGGGCCAAGCCTGCGTGTGGGTTGGACTCCTGCACGCTCTGGTTGACGGACACGGCGGAGATCAAGACCGCCAACACCAAGTTGACGGAGATGGCCGCCTGGTTCATGGAGCAGCCGGGGCCGGCGAAAAACACGTACATGGCCACGGTCAACACGACGCTGCACACGTACATGGACAAGGTGCCGCCCACAAGGAGCTTTTTCCAGAACGCGGCGTTGTACTCGTCGCCGCCCGTCAACTCCTCCAACTCGATTTGCTCGAGGCACTTCTCGGCCCACGCGTGCGCAAAGTCCACCAAGAGCACCAAGCCGATGCCGAGGAAGACGGTGGAGAACACAATGGCGATGTTGTTGCCGTAGAACACGAAGAACGCGTCCGGAATGGCGAGGAAGTTGACGGCGACGAGCGCCGCCCACGCCGCCACCTTCCATTTCCAGCAGCCGTTCTGGATCACGTTGCGCGGGTTGGCCGTGCTTCGGACGTTGGCAAGGAGCGCCGCCAAAACAAGGTGGAGCACGCCCAAGGCCAAGTTGATGCGGTGCACGGACGTGAAGCTGATGCACTGCTTGCCGTCCGGGCCGCAGCGGCTGTTGATGAAGCCAAACAGCACCTTTTCGAGCTTGTGCACGACGAACGGCGAGAGCGCGATCCACGAGACGAGCGAGTTGACAAGCAAAAGCACGGCGTACGAGAGCCGCGTCATGGTGGCTGATTGGAACGAGCCGCCAAGCAGCGAGCACAACGCCGAGCACGCGGCGGCACCAAAACAGGACGCGAGCCAGCTGGTGCCTGCGAGGGGGATGGAGACGAGAGCGCCCATATCGAGAAGTGGCCAAAAAACGGGGTTTTCGGGCAGACGGAAAGCGGGGGTGCTCGAGGAAACGAGAGCTGACCTGGGAAGCAAGCGGGGGAGCAGGCGGCAGGAGGAGGCGGGGAGGGCCGAGGTCCGATAAAAGTGGAAGCCGCTGGTGGAAGTTTGCGGGTGCCCGGGGAAGTGTATGATGCTACCGGCGTGTTTGGAAAGCTGTGTTGTGTGGCTGGTTCTCACAGATACGCGGGCGGCGAGCGTAACTGGGAGCGCACTTGTCGCGGCGCCAAAAAGGAGCCCCAGGCAGTGGTCCGCCCTAGAAACTGGTGAGCGGCCCCAGAAGATGATGAGCCCAGACAATAATGAGCGGGCCAGAAATTAATCACCGGCCCTAGAAATTCATAAGCGCTCCAAAATTCAATGAGCGGGCCATGAATTAGTGAGTGTCTCCAGAAATTAGTGAGCGGGCCAGAAATTAATGAGCCCAGACAATAATCAGCCCTAGAAATAAATGAACGGGCCAGAAATTGATGAGCCCGGGAATTGATGAGCCCAGACAATAATGAGCGGGCCAGAAATTAATCACCGGCCCTAGAAATTCATACCCAAAATTCAATGAGCGGGCCATGAATTAGTGAGCGTCCCCAGAAATTAGTGAGCGTCCCCAGAAATTAGTGAGCGCCCCAGACAATAATGAG